TTGATTTCCTGACTGCTGCTTCCATGGGTGTTGATTGTGGATCCAAGTAAAATGAAATCCTTGACAACTTCAGTCTTTTCTCTGTTTACCATAGTGTTGCTTATTGGTCCAGGTCTGGGGATTTTTGTTTTCTTTATGCTGAGGTGTAATCCATACTGAAGGTTATGGTCTTTGATCTTCATCAGCAAGTGCTTCAAGTCTTCTTCACTTTCAGCAAGCAAGATTGTGTCATCTGCATATCGCAAGTTGTTCATGAGTCTTCCTCCAATCCTGATGCCCTCCTCTTTTTCATATAGTCCAGCTGCTCAGATTATTTGCTCAGCATACATATTGAATAGGTATGGTGAAAGGATACAACGCTGACGCACACCTTTCCTGACTTTAAACCACTCAGTATCCCCTTGTTCTGTTTGAACAACTGCCTCTTGATCTATGTACAGGTTCCTCATGAGCACAATTAAATGTTCTGGAATTCCCATTGTTTATAGTGTTAGGAGTCAGAATAGTAGTTTCCTTTGTGGATGAGAGATCATTTGTATGATGAGTACTTCAGGAGTGCAGACACTCATGATAATGTGCTGTACAATTGTAATTCTGTACTTTTTTTTAATGCATAAGTAATAACATGTTTTAAAAATGAACTCAGCTGTAATCGCCAAGTGTTTGCAAGAGATCAGTAAAATGAACATAAAGCATAAGAAAGGAAGGAATAAAAATCACAGCAAAATTTAATAGAAAAACAGTAGAATTGATAATACCAAGAGGTGACTTTTTAAGAAGAATTGTAAAATAGACAAATTTTGAGCAACATCTTATTCAGCACTCCACCCACTCAATGCATTCTCTGCCCTCTGCTAAGACCTAGGGGCAGAAGTTCAATTTCTCATTTAAGTGTTTCTAAGCTGATACCCTGTTTAAGTTGACTACCATTTGAAACCTACTCTGAGGGGTTTTAGTTTTGTTTTTTGGTGAACATGGTGTTATTTTAATGCTTTGAATCAAAAGTTGACTATCACATTTTTAAAAGTTTATTATTGTTCTTGTTGAGATTGTATGTAGCAGAACATAAACCAATTCAACAATTTCTACAGGTACAATCAGTGACATTGAGGTTCATTTATTTGTTTTTTACTGTCCGTGCTTTTGTTGTTGTATCAGATAATCCATTTTTAAAAGCTAAGCCTGACATCCATGACCCTGTATTTTTTTCAAAGAATTTTATGGTTTTAGTTTTCATATTTAGGTCCTTAATCCATTTTGAATTTGTTTTTGTGTAGGTATGAGGCATGGATCTTGTTTCATTTTTCTGTGTATGAAAATCCAATTTTCTCAACACCATGTACTGAAGAGACACATCTTTCTCCATTAAATGGATTTAGCACCGTTGTCAAAAATATATGTGTGGGTTTATTTCTTGATTCTCAATTCTGTTCCATTGATCTATATGTCCATTATACCAGTACCAGGCTGTTTTGATTACTGTAGCTGTATACTATGTTTTGAAATCAGGAAGTGTGTAAAACTGGCACGGGGGTGGTGTCTGACCTTCTCTAACTTCACAAGCGGGAAGGGGAATCAAGATCAGTGGCCAAGGCTGATTCCTATGAGGCAGAGGTCAGACATGCCTCCTCTGTCCACCATCTTTATCAGTTCTGACACCAACTGTCCCTACTACAGCACTCTCTACTTCTCTGCTGGGTTTGATTATTCACTGCAATGGCCACAGAGAACTCACAGACAATACTCACGATTATGAGGTTTATTAGGGAAGTAACAGTTGCAACTCAGGCTCAGGAACACTCAGGATACAGTTCTTCCATCAAGACAGCTTCTTCCCAGCCATGCTCACAGGCACACCTCTCCCTGGCCCTCAGCCTCTGCCCAAAGGCACTCAGCTTTCTCTTTCCATGGGCCAGGAAGTCCACCACGCCAACTCCTGCTGCTACTTCTTGCTATCTTCAGTGTTACAGCTCTATCTCCTGGTTCCGGGAGCTCCTCAGAGCAGGGATCCCAGGTCCAAAGGACATGCTGGCTTCTGGCTGTTCTTCCTTTGTGGTGGTGGGATCCTCTCTTTCCTGCCTCTGTGGTAGCTCATTTGAAGCCCAGTGGGATGGCAAAACTGACTGTCATGGATTGAATTGTGTCCCCCCAAAATATCTGTCAACTTTGCTTGGTCATGATTCCCAGTAGTATATGATTGTCTACTATTTTATCATCTGATGTGATTTCCCTGTGTGTTGTAAACTCTATTACTATGATATAATAAGATGGATTAGTGGCAGTTATATTGATGATGTCTACAAGATTAGTGTCTTAAGCCAATCTCGTTTGAGATATAAAAGAGAGAAGCGAGCAGAGAGACATGGGAACCTCATACCACCTAGAAAGCAGTGCCAGGAGCAGAGCGCGTACTTTGGACCTGAAGTTCCTGTGCAGAGACCCTCCTAGACCAAGGAAAGATTGATGACATGGACCTTCCTTCAGAGCCAACAGAGAAAGCCTTCCCCTGGAGCTGACGCCCTGAATTTGGACTTGTAGCCTACTAGACTGTGAGAAAATAAACTTCTCTTTGTTAAAGTCATCCATTTGTGGTATTTCTGTTATAACAGCACTAAATGACTAAGACACTGACCAATCCCTTTGGTGGGCCACAATTACCCATCACACAGTCCTGCCCAATCACTTGGGTGGGAGTTCCAAGAACATGGCTTGAAAGGCCACACAAAAGTGATCCATTGCACTGCAAAGTGTGAATCCTCTTATTCTCTTCTTTTTCAAAATTGCTTATCTATTTGGGGCCTATTACCATTCTATATAAAGTTGAGGATTGTTTTTTTCATTTCTGTGAAGAAGTCTGTTGGAATTTTGATCAGGAGTGCATTGAATCTATAGATCGTTTTGGGTAGTATTGACATCTTTACAATATTGTTTCCCAATTCATGAAATGATTCTATACACAGAAAATCCCAAGGAATCCACAGGAAAGCTTCTAGAGCTAATAGAGGAATTTAGCAAAGTTGCCAGATACAGGATCAAGAAACAAAAATCATTTGGGTTTCTATACACTAGCAATGAGAAATTTGAAAGGAAAATTAGGGAAATGATTCCATTTACAATAGCATCTAAGAGAATAAAATACCTAGGAATACACTTAACCAGTGATGTGAAAGACTTATACAATGAAAATTATAAAATACTGCTGAAAGAAGTTTAAAAAGACTTAAATAAGTGGAAAGATGTTCTGTGTTCATGGATTGGAAGACTTAATATCAAATATCACTTTTTAAAGCAAGCCAACCAAACCAAACCCATCGCCATCAAGTGGACTCCAACTCATAGCAACCCTATAAGATAGAGCAGAACTGCCCTTGTAGGGTTCCCAAAGAGTGGCTGGAAGATTCAAACTGCAGACCTTTTTGTTAGCAGCCTAAGCTCTTAAACACTGCACCACCAGGGCTCCTAAAGCAAGCCAGGTGCCAATTTTCCAGAGTCTTCTGAAGTGGTTATTTTATTATTCTGTTCTTTCCCAGAACCAATTCTGAGTTTGTAAATATAAATTTGTTGGAGTGGGGAGGGGAGAGCGAGAGGGAGAAAAACATTCATTCTTTTGTTGTAAAAATACAGGCAACACAACATTTACCAATTCAGCATTTTTCGCTCGTACAATTCATTGAAACCAATTACATCAGTTATGTTGTGCAACCATCACCAACATCCATTGCCATGTTTTCTATCCCCATAAACAGAAACTCAATACTAGCTAAACAAAAATTTCCCTCTTTCCCCTTTCCTCCCACCCCTGGTAACCACTGTTAAACTCTGATATCTATATATTTGTTCTCTGTGTTCATATTAGTGAGATCATACAATATTTTTCTTTTTGTGATTGACTTATTTTACTCAGCATATTAGTTTTAAGGTTCATCCATGTTGTGGCATGTATCAGTACTTCATTTCTCTTTTTGGCAGAGTAATACTACATTTTATGTATATACCACGTTTTGTTTATTCATTCATCTGTTGATAGACATTTGGGTCGTTTCCAACTTTTGTCTATTATGAATAGTGCTGCAGTGAACATTGGTGTATGTGTATCTGTTAGTGTCACTGCTTTCAGGTCTATTAGGTATATACCTAAGAGTGGGGTTGCTAGGTCATATGTAACTATTTTTAACTTCCTGAGGAACCGCCAAACCATTTTCCACAACGGCTGTACCATTTTGCATTTCCGCCAGCAATGGAAAATCATATCCGTTGCTGTCGAGTTGATTCCAACTCATAGCGACCCTACAGGACAGAGTAGAACCACCCCATAAGGTTTCCAATGCTGTAATATTTACTAAAGCAGACTGCTACATCTTTCTTCCACAGAGCAGCTGGGGGGTTCAAACCACCAACCTTTTGGTTAGCAGCTGAGTGCTTAACCACTGTGCCACCAGGGCTCCTTCCCAGCAATGGAAGAGGTTTGCAACTTCTCCACATCCTTGCCAACGTGATACTTGACATTTTTCTGTAGCATTTATCACCAACTGGATATAATACATATTTATTTGTTTATTGTCTGCTTAACCCTTTGGAAAATGAGATACCTAAGGTGTGAGACTTTTTCTGCATATTTCACTGCTCTTTCCTCAGTGCGTAGTATATTACCTACCACAGAGAAGGCCCTTCGTAAATATTTAGAGAATGAATGAAGGCATAAGCCAGAGGCAAGGACTTCAAGGGAGATAACATTGCACTACACTGCTGGAGGAGCTCAAAGATACCTGAATTCAATAAACCATTTGTATCAGAGGTCCTTACGACCATCTTCAGACTCTATTTGCTAGAAGGACTCACAAGACTCAGAAGCTGTTATAGTCACAGTTATGAATTATTATAGCAAAGTGATACAGATTAGAATCAGCAAAGGGAAAAGGCACATGGGAAAAAGTCCAGCCAAAACCAGCACAAGCTTCTAGGTGTACTCTCCCAGTGCAGTTACACAGCGCTTAATTCTCCTAGTAATGATGAGTGACATCATGTGCAAAGTATTACCAACCAGGGAAGCTCACCGAAGCCCTGGTGTCCACGGTTTTTTGGGGGGGCCATTCACATAGGCGTGCAGCGCCCATGAGACGTACCTCAACTGCTGAGATCTCAGCTCCCCAAGAGGTCAAACTGATACGTCGTGGCCCAAAGCCTTGTAGATGCAAAAATAGGTATTCTTCATAAGTCACATTGTTAGCCTAAACTATCTGGTCAGATTGATTCACTGTGGCCCAAGGCCTCAGGCATACAAGAACACTTTTGTCAGGCAGGTATTCCATGGGCTCAGAAGTCATCTCCATTAACTGAGCCAAGGACCAGTCCTGAAGACAGGCCTTTTTCAGGAATATGCAGAATTTAATCAACCCAGGCCTACTGAGCTAACCTTTTTCTGCACACCATTTCATGACCATCTTCTGGTCATGTTGGCAAATAACAACAACCTTAGGAGATCATGTTTTTGAGACAGAGTAACTGTATTCAGATCCTGGCTCTTCACTTCCTAATTGTTGATACTGAGCAAGTTACTACTCCTGTCTGAGCTTTGGTTTTCTCAGCTATTGAATGACAGTAACGATAACTGTTTTGATAATTGTCTTAGTCATCTAGTGGTGCTACAACAGAAATACCACAAGTGGATGGCTTTAACAAAGGGAAATTTATTTCTTCACAGTAAAGTAGGCTAAAAGTCCAAATTTGGGGCGTCAGCTCCAGGGGAAGGCTTTCTCTCTCTGTCGGCCTTCTCATCAGTGTTCCCCCGGACTAGGAGCTTCTCTGCACAGGGACCCCAGGTCCAAAGGACGCACTCTGCTCCTGGCACTGCTTTCTTGGTGGTATGAGGTCCCCCTTTCTCTCTGCTCACTTCTCTTTTTTATATCTCAAAAGATTGCCTCAGGACACAATCCAATCTTGTAGATTGTGTCCCGCCTTACTAACACAACTGCCACCCATCCTCTCTCATTAGCATCATAGAGGCAGGATTTACGATACATAGGAAAATCACATAATACCAGGAATCATGGCCCAGCCAAATTGATACACACATTTTTGGGAGGACATAATTCAATCCATGACAATAATCACATGAACTTGTCTTACCATTGTTTCTGGCACATAATGGGTACTCAGCAAGTGGCAATTGTTATTAAAATTTATGTGGATTAGTACTTCACAGTTACTGGTGGCCAGCTTATATGCAACTTCATTTTCTGCAGTAATGCCTGTCTATTAATTGATGATATCTGGCAAGAATCCAGCTACTACTTAATCAAGAGGAATTGAGATTGATCTATCCACTTAAATTCAAGAGACCTTGGGAACAAGAAGTGTTCACACAGATTTAACTATCAAACTCATAGTATGCCAGTCATTGATCTTTCCATTTGTGGTAAGTCCTTTTTGATGCTTCTTTCAGAGATCCGCTTTAAGTGGTCT